AAAAAAAAAAAGTAGGTGCTATTTACTGGATATCTAGGGCATGAATTAACATACTAATATTAGAAATTTCTCATGGATTATTTCTAATCCTATCACCCTATATGAAAAATATTATTTGCATTTCACAGATGAGGAAACTGAAGCTCACAAAGATTAAGAAACCTGTCCAAGATTACATGGTTTATAGGTAACAAGTTCATAACCAAGTCTTCTACCATACAATACTGCCTCTCATGTAGTTGCTTTCTCCAAAGATTCCCATCGTAATTTTTTTATTCTACTAAATATGAATGTAAGTTTTGAAAATTATTTCTTCTCTCTTCTGAGATATTAAATTGTCATAAAAACAAATCAAGAAATTATTAATCGCTATGTCTTTAGAAGAATTAATTTAATCAGAAATAGGCTAGTTTACCAACCTCATTACTAATGTATAAAAATGTTTATAACAAAATTATCTGCTTTGTTGAGCCCATATCATAAATCAGGTACTCTGCTAGTTAGCCTTAAGAGATTAAATATTACCATTTTCTTTTTACAGATAAGAAACATGAGATTTAGAGAGGTTAGGAAACTTGCCAGGGGCCTTGCTGCTAGGAAGTGGAAGAACTGGGTATGCAACCTCAGTAGTATAACTCCAAAGCCTGCATTTCTTCCAGTTTGTCATACCCACTCTGGGCCACTCTTATAATTTGTATTGAGAAACATCTTTAATACCTTTTCTGTTTCTTTCTCTTCCTGGCTTCCAATGGCTTCCATCTGGGTTCCTGGCTCTTCCCAGGTATAATAAACCTTATAAAGACAGAGCTGTTCTCTTTTCCCTTACAGGTTTTCTAGCAACCTGTTCCCACAGACAAAGACACACCCTCCCCATATAGACAGCCCTGAGCTCTGTTAATGATCCAATTCTTAATCTGTATAAATATGTGGAACCTTAACTTTGAAGCTCAGGTGAGTCCCTATAAGACTACTTTGCCAGAACTCCATCACTGCATAAGTGCTTATGTTACAGCAACTAGCTTTAAACTGTTACCATGATTTTTTAACCCAGGTTTGAGAAACTTGTTTTGCTTTTACCATACCCCTTGTACTAGTCAGTACTCCTTGAATTTCAGTACTAGAAATTCAAATCATCCAAAAGCTATAATGTCCAAAGACCATCACTGCCTCTGTGTCTCCAGAGAATAAGTCCTCCAAAATCTCTCTGGCAGACTTTTCCTCCTATTTCACTGACTAGAATAGCATGTCCATACCGTACCTAACCCAGTCACTGACTGGCTTCAATGACTGAAGACCAAACACTGGGCCAGTCCTCTCTGAAGCCAATACTCATGTAGCCTCAACAAAACTGGAGTTTTGTCAGGACAGAAGGACAAAGAGGAACACCTCTGCGTAGTCAGCCGACAGCATCTGCTACAGGAAGGATCCTTAAGTTGGGGAGCCAAAGATAAGGTGAACTTGTTCTGTTGAGTCTTTAAAGAGAATTCCTACCAAGTAAACAGACAAGGAAAATAACAATATGCAACTACTTTGTGTTTTGAGAAACTGCAGTCACTTCATTATAACTGGATTGAATGATATACATTGGAGTGTG